CCCCCGGACCGCTTGCCCAGTTGTGGCGCGCCCGGTGCCGGGGAGGGCCACCCAGACACCCCTTTCCCTGCAGGAGGACACGCGCGCCCTGCCGCCGCCGCCGCTGCTGCCGCCGCTGCCGCCGGCCAGGTCTCCAGACCCGGAGAGGTCCGTCCCCCCCTCCCCTCCCCTCCCCCCCCCATGAAGAGGGACGGACGGGTTCCTTTGTCTTTGGGCTGATGTGATGTCGCAGAGACGTCTCTGCTCCGAGGTGCTGCCCTGCCGGGAGCTATGCCGAGGCAGGCTCCCAGACCACTTCCCTTCCGGGGGCCTTGCCAAAGGCCTGCGGGGGTGACTTTGCCTTTTTAAAAAGTCTGCGCTTGATAACCCTGGTGGATTCATTCAGCGGCGCATTGATTGTCTTGTCTGCTTTGCTTCTCCAATGCGCTGGGTGGCTTCTCTTAGCTTCATGGGTTCAGTCTCTTGTCTACTCAGGCCACTGATGCTGTCCCCAACTGGTAACAGCTGCCCAGGGTTTCAGGCAGAGTGAGTAAGGCCTTTCTCAGGACTTGAGACCTTTGAGCGGCGAGGGATCAGTTCAGAGACATCCTGGCATGAGTGCTGTGCCACTGAGCCGCACCCTCTCTCCCAGTTGATATGTCCTGATTCTCGGTCTGGGATCAGCATGTTCTAACTTGGAGATCCTGAAGCTGCCATATGATCTTTAACAGTGGCACTAAACCTCCTGTCCCCAACCAACTGTGTGCAGATTCTGTGAGAGAGAATTTTTGGAGAGCCACCGGAAGCCCTTTGCCTCAATCCCAGATGCACACAGAGCAGTTGTCATTAAGCAGATGCCGCTGAAGCCCACGTGGAGGTTCTCTTCTTATGACTTCCCATTGCAAAGGCTTCGGAGCTCTCGTGTGGGGCAGATCTGATGTCCAGACCTGGTTTGTGGAAGTTTTATAAAATGACCCAAATCCTTCCCAGTGTTTGTGTTTTAAATCTGTTACACAGCTCTATGTCGGTGCTGTAAATATTGTCCGTGATAAAAGAACATCGGTTTTGGGCAAGACATTTTGTAAGTGTTGTGGGTTTTTAGGCTGAAGACGTAGCAAAAGCAACTGAAGTCTAGTAATTTTGGGCTGCTTTGGAAGGGTTCACTGCAGCATAGAAAACTATAGCAAAGTTTTTACAGACAAAGGTGCCCAAGGATTTCAATGTGCCATTGAAGCTTTAAGCAGAGTTCCCAGTCATCTGAATGGTGCTAGGGTGTATGGCAGGCACTTTTGAGGGGAGGTGGGAGCGTGTGCGCACACCCATGCAATGTCCCGTTAACATGCAGGTTCCCTGAACACTGCCCATTGGTATTAGCTGGATCTATGTCTGTGTTCTTACATCTTTGCCGAAAGGGTTTGTTGGTGCTGTGGGGGTGTGCCCTGCACTGCTGGGTACCTTGCTTTGGCTTGTCTGTGGGGTAGAAGGAAAGAAACCTGTTTTTGTTGGCCCTCAGGCTTCCCCCCCCCCCCCCAAAGAAAACACTGAAGGTTGCTTGCATACCTTTTAGTCACTGGGCAGCTAAAAATGCTACAGGAGAAACCATGTAGCTCTGAAGCAGTAAACAAGCAGTGAAAAGCATACTTCCTTGAAGCAAATAAATTTACTTTCAAGTAAGGATGGCTATGGTGTGTGTATGTGGGGGTGGGGTGTCTAGTGCTACCTGAAACAGGATTTGCTTAACCTGGACACCCTCATT